AAACCAAAAATACACTGAGCCGCAGTTGTGAAGTCTGGAAATACAGCAGAGGCTGTATATGAAATACACGGAGGCTGCAGTTTTCCCAAGCCCCAGATACAGGTGGACGGCCTTCCACTGCTCCACGATGGGCAACTCCTGCTGCTGGGGATGCTGCTCCTCTGTGCCCCCCGTGCATGTCGGGGAGACACACCAGCGTGGGGGGCATGCACCGGCACAGGGGGGCATGCACCAGCACGGGGGTGCACACACGGGCATGGGGTGCTCATAGCAACATGGGGGGCAGACACCGGCACAGGGGTCATGCCCTGGCATGGGGGGAATGCACCAGCACAGGGGTCCACGCACCAGCACAGGGTGCTGACTGCTTCCAGACAGCTACTGAAGCCCCTCCAGCCTCTTCCTCCCTGCTCAGCCTTCCCCAAAGCACACACGGCACCGCCACCCCTCCTTTCGCCGAGGAGGAACAGGCATGTATTTTGCATGAAGGACCCACAGAGCTGCCCGGTCCCCTGGCCCCCCAACACCAGGGATGCTCCGGAGCGCAACAACCCTGCAGCACAGCCCTGCTCCCGCCCGTGTTTCTTCAAGGCAGCCCTTCTCTCCAATTTTTACATTTGCCATCCCCTTCCCAGCTGCACCGGCCATCAGCCCCAGAGCCCAACCTGCTCCACGCAAGCCTCCCCGGTGAAGCACTCCCCAGCCGCAAGGCAAAGCGGAGCAGGGTTTGGGCAGTCCTTCCCGAGCAGGGTGGAAGATGCCGGTCCCCGCCCAGCAGCTCCCTGCAGATCCAGTCCCCCCGCGTGAGGAGCTGGGGCTCACCCCTACTGCGCTGCACAGCACCTATGCAAGCACCGAAATCCCTGTTGCTACGGCTGGGTGCAGAGTGGGGTTGCAAGCATTGCTCTGCAGTTATTCCAGGTAGCAAGGGGCTTCTTAGCCGCTACTCGTGCTGCCTGAGCTGGGCCGGCGGGTGCTCCCGGCAGTGCTGAGCTCCGTGCAAAACGGACTCTTGACTCATGGGCTTAATCCCATTAATCTAATGACCACGAGTTTAATCCACCCTTTAACGCGCGGGATTTCAGGCTCTCTGTGGCTTCCCCGACGTGACCCTGATCTGCAGCCGTCCCTCCTTATCAAAGCAACACTGAGTTACAGCCCTGAGGGACATCTCCTGCCCCCGAGGCCACGAACGACAAAACAGCCACCCAGGACGAGCTGGAGGAGAGGCTGTTCCCAAACACAGCGCTTGGCAGCCTCCAGACCCTGCACGATAACCCCAGACTTTCTGCCCCATAGCGCAACCTTCTACATGATTTTTTTTATTTAGGCTACAGCAACGCGATCTGGAGTTAACGGAGAGGAGAAACCCCGGGTGGTTAATTGGGCACCGACCGCAGCCGCCTGTGCACCAGCACGGTTAAGCTGCAACAACCCCGGCCGGCCAGGGCCAGATGTCACCCCAGATTTGGGACCCCGGGACCCCTTTCCTGATGCGGACGCTGCATCCAGGGCCATCACTCCCACCCCATCCCCACCGGCAGGACATCACTTTGAGGAGCTGGAGCCTGGTGTGGCCCCAAATTCGGACCGTGACCACTCGCTGGATGGACAGCGGG